CGTGCTTGTTCAAACCATATTTTATATAAACTTGTTGATGTTTCTTAAAATATGGTAGACATGTTTTTGAGCATCAGCTACCTTCATAAACATGCTAAACATAGGATTACCTAGCCCCTAAAACATAAGCACCTGCTATGAACTTGAAATGTAAATAGCTCAAAAATTGTAAACATGCTTATGTAAAACATAATTTGTAAATAACAGATGGCACTGATTTACTAAGAATGTGAAGGCACTGATGAGAATGAAGCATCTTGAACCAGTAGAATGGAAGGTGTGTCAACGATGCCCAGGTTCCCATGGCCAACCAAAACTAGCAACCAGGCACCAATCTCACTGACTCTCTGAGTGCTCAGAGCTGGCTGTAGACCATGGCACGCCAGCCATAAGGCAGCTACAACCCCTTGTGTAGATCGTGGCATTGATTGGAGATGGGCCCATCCACAGATGAAGGTAGCGCCTTCCTCTCGTAGTGTACAGAGCCATTTCTTTTAGTTTGTTGAAGGAAAATAAATGTGAGTGTATGCACCTGGGCTCTGAGTGCCTGGTTTTATCATTCACCTCCACTCTGTGACATCCTCAAACTGTGTCTTTGCTGTAACCCGAGCCTAGCGCTAAAATACAGCTCCAAGTTATTCAGTGCCAGGCAATTGTCACATCTGTTATAAAGGAAGTGTTGACTCAACCCAGTCCAGGAACCGCCACCAAAAGTAAAAGGTCTCCAGAGATGGGATTGAACCTTTTAAGTTATTTACATTAGCCATTGATCTGGAACTTGAGTCAGAGTTGATCCTTGCTTCTTAAAAGTGAAATTCTTTCATTTGTTCCTATCCTTTCCCTTTCTGTCTCGCTGTCTCTCTGTCTGCTGCTTCCCTGCTCTTTTTTTCCTCCTCCTCCTCTCCCTCTCTTTGTCTCGTACACACACGAACACATATCTACACACCTTATTATTATCGTTTTATCTTCAAACAGTGTATCCTAAGGAACTTTTCTCCGACTATGATTGAGATACTGTTATGAAAATAAGAAAAGTCCGTTCTCAATCCTCAGTTGTATTGAAATAAAGACCATCTCAGAGGTTTAGGCAGTGCCGTCTGAGATGAAGGACATTGATCTGGTTTTGATGCAGATAACAGGTCAAAATGGCTGTCAAAGTCATCAGGTATGGGAAACACCACGAACGTGGGACTCTGGTGCAATTTCCAAAGGGGATCCCATCAGTCATTCCAAATTTCCCGCTGATCAACGATGAACGTGATAATAAGCATTTCTGGCTTTCTGCAAATGAGAGATTCCAGAGATTTGTGTTATAATGCCCAAATACATGATCTTGGACACTAAGGATTTATTGCCCCTTTGTGCCTATGACAATTTAAAATCTAGATTACAGTAGTTTATATATCGTGGAAATTTGGAAAACAAAATCCTTTAGTGGGTGATTTCAAAGCATGTTATAAGTTATACTCAATTAGGTTTTAAAACTCTTGCTGAGACCTATAGTCATTTTTAAATTTAATTTTATTTTGGGGTAGGTAATACTTTGCTCCAACTTTGCTAACATACTCATGACAAGGCCAGGGAATTTTTGTGGAATAATTCATAACAATTCATATCAAAATGAAGTATTCTTTGCCTTAGTGTTCTCTCTCCATCCCAAATATATGAAGTTATTTTACCTGTGTATATTCATTTGGGGCTGAAATTTGGGAGCCAGTTTGCATATACTTACAGTGTTCTGTGTTCAGTAAGTTTTCTAAAATTTCCCTTGGATTCATAGAAGCCAGTTTGCATATACTTACAGTGTTCTGTGTTCAGTAGGTTGTCTAAAATTTCCCTTAGATTCATAGAAGTTTCTAAACCTTTTTCCCCCTGTGCTCCTGTCTTTGATTATTGTCTTTAATGGGGCTCTGTATGAAGTGATGTGAAGTAGCCGGGGTTTACTATGTGATTACGTTAAGTTCATGCACCCCATGTAGAGCCTGAAAAGGATGTCATACATATAAATGACTTTTTACCCCCTTCAAACCAGCAAAATAAGTCCGAGGATTGCAGTAGCTGCTTTCAAAATGTATAATCATTGCATAGAGCCAGCTCAGGAAACATTTGTTGAAAACTTAGGCTTGAGTTTTCTACTTCCGTTTGCTCACGTGCGTTTATGAGAGCATGCTCTGATAAGAATAGTGACGTGTGTATGTGAATGTTTTTCTTGAAGACACTTAATATCTTCCCGCTCACTGACGTGAGTTGACTTCAGCTTCTCTGGGACTTGATTATTTAAAAATCGAAGATCAGTGTCTCCCAGTATTGGGTGAAGTGTGGTAAATTATGTGGCATCTTCGTTACTTTGTTTCTCTTTGCTTGCTCTGTTTTTGCATTAAATGTATGTAACATTTCTCCTCTTCCCCATCATCTTTCTTTCCACGCTATCTTCTCACTGTCGTTTGTAGTCCCTCTGTCTGCCTTTCCACCCAGCAGCCAGACTCCCCTTCGCGGATCAGTCTATTACTCTGCGAACTCTGACGGTAGCACTTAAATATATAACAGTTCCCTTTCCTACATTAAAAAGCCGTAAAACCTTCATGTGAAATAGCTAAGGGAACATATATAGTAGGAGGAGAGGCTTTTGCTCCTGCAGGCACCTTGCAGAGGGGACTATTTTTCTTATATGATATAAATGAAATCTTCACTCTGCCCACTTTTACACCTACGCGTGTACTGAGCGTCTCCAAGGAGACAAGGAAACCCGGAGTCCAGCGATGGTGGATCCTCCACTGAGACAGCAGGCTGGAGTCTCAGGCAACTCTCCCAGGCGTCTTGGCTTCCAGCTGCCCCTCTCAGACAGCCTCTTTTCTCGAGGCTCCTCCAGGCAGGCTTTCTCGAATATGTCTCTCCCTTCACAGATGAAATAGCCTGTGCGTTACATCTGAAGGGCTGGTCGTGGTGAGTTCAGTAGGCAGAAGGCCTCCCTGGGACCAGAGGGGTGGATGTTGTAGGGAGGGCTAGAAGGGTTCCACTTGCCCCACATCTTTTCTCTGCCATTTGTGTATCTGTGCTTCTGTTTCTTTGCCTGCCTTTGCGCCTCCTAAACACAAAGGTACCACTCAGCCTTACGAAGTGTCTTAAAAATATTGGCTGTTACAACTGTGTAGTTATGAGCGTGGTTTAGTGAGCTTGTCCTTTTAGGAGGAGTACTACTCTTGCAGAGTCCACATTTTTAGATGTCCGCCCTGAGCAGTAATCCTCCCGACCACTCCGTTTCGTTTTCCTCGTTCTCCTGCGTTCAATGCACAGGAGCCCCCAGGCCCTCTTACCTTTCCCCCATTCCATCATTGCCACTATAACTTCCCTCGCAAATATACGCATTATTTTCTTAAATAAACGAAGTATCTGTTTCTCTTGGAGGAACACACTCCCATCATAAGTCCGTTATGCTCACTCTCTAAAACTATAGTATTAGGTCCTTTTTTTCTTCCCCCCCCCCCCCCCCATCAGGGGAGAACATGAGCACAGTCCCCCACAGTATCCGAGTGTCAGGTCCTTTTGATGAGTTGACCACATCTGTGATCTATCTGTGCCTATTCTTTGATGCACAAATAATTTGGTTACTGTATAGAAATTATTATTGATGTAATCCCCCAAGAAATCTCATTTTGTCTCTAAACTCAAAGTACATCGTTTAATGATTATTCTTGACATCTCTTCCATGTGTACATTCTTGGTTCTCAGCTGAATTGACTCAAGAAACCTCACTTTTCATGTGATTTTTTTTTTTTAAGCACAGTATCTACAAACTTCAGTGTTCTGTTGCTGATCTGCTGCCCTCTTTGGAAAGGTGTGTGTGGCTAGCCATTATTCCTGTCCTTAATTCTTTGATAGTGAATGTCCTCATGAGGGTTTATTGATGACACTTTTTTTTTCTTTTTCACTTTAACTTTTTTTTTTTTTTTTTTAAATAGACAGGATTTTGCTCTATTAGCCAGGCTGGAATAGAGTGGCGCGATCAGAGTTCACTATAACCTTGAATTCCTGGTTCAAGCAATGCTTCCTCAGCCTCCCAAGTAGCTGGGACTACAGGCAGGCACCACCACACCCGGCTAATTATTTTTATTTTTTTAGAGGTAGGGTTTTGCTATGTTGCCCAGGCTGGTCTTGAACTCAAGTGGTCCTCCTGCCTCAGCCTCCCAAAGTGCTGGGATTACAGGCGTGAGCCACCATGCCTGGCCTACTTGAACGTTTAGAAAGATTTGTCAGTCATATGTTCAACATTATGGAGAACTCTCCTGTTTTCTTCTTGCTTTAACTTTAATTCATATCACCTCCCCAATTTCCTTCTTTAAGGAAAACCCATCCCATATTATAAGCTGGAAAAGGGTCACTGGTAATAAACGTAACTAGTTTTGTTCACAGGTACAATAATGTCCCCTTTAAGATGACTAGAGGTCAGACTTGCTGTTTTTCTCTGTGAATTCCATCAAGGTCATCCTACGTATGTCTCGTCTGTTTTGATCTTCCTTCCCAAATAACCTAATCCATAGTGAAAGTGTTATGTTCAACTTGAGTTCCCAAATCCCCCCAAGAAGAACTGGGGGGAGGGGGAGCGTGCCGCTGAAAAGGGCTCTGTGTTGTCTGCCAGGTTTCGCCAGGTTTCTGTCTTTGCCCAGGTCCCTCCTGGCCTCTCTGCCATCCTTCCTCAAAGTCCCAATCATCCATACTCCCAAAATGCATGTCAGAGTTTTGGTAGGGTTAAAATGTCTGCTTAGATAAATTGCTGTGCCTGAAAACTATGGATGAAATTAGCCAAATCAAAGGAAATGTAAACAATTTCTGGAAAGGTTTTCAACTGAGACTGGTGGGAAGTTTTGTTTGCTGTTTCATTTGCCTGGAAATAGGAAAGTCCGAGACCTGGTCCCAAAGTGCACATCCTGGAGTCCTTTTAGTGAAGGATCCCCTGAACCTGTGTAGTAATGCAAATGGTTGTCTTCTGTTTTTATTTCCAGGCACTTCAGGTGGCAAGACAGCTCCTTCTCCAGCAGCAACAGCAGCAGCAAGTTAGTGGATTAAAATCTCCCAAGAGGAATGACAAACAACCAGCTCTTCAGGTAACAATTTTTTTTTTTTTTTTTTATGACATGATACCCTTTGGGATAGCTGATGAGCAATTAGGAGTGGATTGTGTTGAGAATTGCAAATCATGTAAGACGATGTTCTGTAGAAGGCATATTTTTAGTTTACCAGCACAGTATGACATTTTGGGGGAAAATGGGTATTTGACCGAAAGTTTTATTGTTAGGAGTAAGAAGATCTACTGATTAGTCAATATAATAGGAGGATGAAGAATTACAGGTGTTGGTTGCTTAATAGGCAGTGTGGGTTACCAGTGAGAAAAAGTTCACTGTGCTCAGAATTGTCACCGTGCTCAGAATTGTCACCACATTTTTTCATGTTGGGGCTAGAAATGGAATAAACACACACACTGTAGTGCAGTGGTTCTCAGTAGGTGTGATTTTGCCCCCCAAGGGACAATGAGCAATGTCCAGAGACATTTTTGGTTGTCACAACTAGGAAGAAAGAGGAGCTACTGACTTCTAGATGGTACAGGCCAGGGATGGTGCCAACATTCTACAATGCCCCAGGCAAACATAGAATGATTCATCCCAAAGCGTTGATAGTGTCAATAACTGTTATCGGGCCTGAGGAGGATGTGGTACTTTTAATATTACACCTTGTAGTGAGTATAATATATACTCTATTTCTCAGTGGGTGTGTTCAGGATGTTTCTGAACCATTAATAAGAAATTTTTATGTAAAGGTACCAAAAGAGATTGTTTTAGCAACTTCTCATTTCAGGCACCTTGAGGGTAAGGGGTTAGTGGAATAGAAGATGGAGTGAGTTTATAAAAACCTAATTTGGATTTTCAACTTGGAGTAGAAAATCGTAATAGAAATTTCGGAGAATCTTGAATCAGAGTCTTCATGCTCACAGCCAAGATAGGGCACTTGCAGGTCCTAGATGGGGTTTGAACTACTTTTAGGGTGGGCATCCCCAACATGGGAGGCTGAGGAAGAGTTTCTCACACTGGACATGTGGGAGCAGAATCTATCCGCACCATGTATAACTTGGTGTCAATTAATTTGGTCACGAGGTCAACCTAAATTCTAGCTTGTGTTGACTTTTCACAGGTCAGGGCGAACCACTGCCAGTTCTCAAGTTATCCTGCAAAGACCAAACTGACCTTGGCCAACAAGTTCTAGTTCTTCTACATGTACTTGGGAAACTGTCCCTCTCCAGGGCAAGTTCACTGTAGAGACACTTTATTGGAAAAGCTGAGTGACAGCGCGCATTGTTTATTAACACTTACGAAAACAGTTATTTGGTAAACTATCACCAGTCCGTATGCCTTTTACCGTGTGCGCATGCAGGGGACATTTTTAATGAGGCACAGTGCCATTGAGGGCCCGTGTCAGGTGCTATAAGGAGTGCTTTGTTGTGCAGATGTCTTAAGAACAGCTCCAGAGGATGAAATATGACTGCGTTGACCTTTCAGCTGTGAGCTTATTTGTCAGGATTCAAATAAGTTGAAAGGATCAAACTGAACAGTTTCCGTAGTCAGACTGGGAATTGTGTTTCAGAGGTCAGCAGCAGAGGCCACATTGCAGATTCCATAACATAGCCAATTGTTGGTACATATTAAAGTACCGGGGCAGCTCCTGCAGACAGAGACACAATTAAAATTCTAATTTATTAATGTATACAGGGAGCTAGCCCAGCCTGTCACTCAGTGATTCAAATGACTGTCCATTCTTTTTGCCTCCCCCTTGGAGTTCTCGCAGCCTTAAAAACACTGTGACTCCTCTTGAGTTTATCAGACCTCAAGCGCATTGGAAAAATGAAAATATATTATTGGGGGGAAAAATCTTACACATAGTAGAGCTTTGGATAGAGATAATAAAAAAAACACACATACACAATCTGTCTGCTCTTCAGTATTGAATATCATTTGTGATTTTTTTATAGTAGACTTATTTTCCCTCATACTTGCTTTTTTAAAACATATGGCATTTTTAGGTAACTTCTCTTCCAAGATGAACGAAGTTCCTTTAGGGCTAAATATAAGAAGTAAAGTTTCAGGGGATTTCCTTTTGAGGGCTCTTTTTCTTCTTGCCTGTTAGGTTTTTAGCCACCATGCAGAAGAGTATGATACAGAGGGCTTCGTTTTTCTTGGCAAGGACAGTGTCAAAACCAACCTAACACATTCTGCTGAGCACTTCAGTCTGTATAAAAAGTGGGGGAAGAGGGGGTAAGCTCGAATGCTGGTTTTGCTAAAGAAGATGTCTTGAGTTTTTTCCTACTCCCTAAGTGGAGGAGTTGACAAGCAGAGAATTCAGCCCAGCTTTTAAGAGTCGGCTGGGGGAAAAAGAAAAAGGGTTGGTTGATGGTGCGTGTGTATCGTAGACTGTGGCTGCTTGTCTCCTCAGCTGCCTGGTAGGGTCATGCACGTTCACTAAGCTTTATTAGGTTGGCTGGCCTTCCACAAACAGAGAGGAGAAATTACTATCCTAGGCCACATGGTGTATTACCTCATTATAAAAATACGTATCTAAACTTGGAGATTCGCAGAAGGAATAACCTTCATATTTAAATATATCTTGCCAGGCCATGTCCTCGCTGAGGCATCTCAGCCGGAGTGGCTCTGAAATGAAAGGGAAATCCTACAGCAAATCTTAACAGTGCTCATCTCTGATCTTCTTACCTTTCATAACTACACTGAGAGACCTATTTTAGCAAATTTCAGATCTTCTGCATAGAGGAAGGCTTGACAGGGAAGAAGGATTTGATCTGCTGATAGCTTGAGGAAAAAAAAAAAAAAAAAAGAAAGAAACCCAAATCCCCAAATATACTGTGACTCATATTTTAAGCATATCTCACACTTCCCTGCTTTATGTTTGGCAGCGCTCTCTGGTTTCACAGGCTGATGATACAAACAAAAGAAAATGGAAAGTTAGAGGAGGCTATAAGTGGTTACTCGATAGAGATCATAAAATGTAGTCAAACATCACCGATTTGGACTAATTTCAGGGAGAGGAGAGTAAATAAGAGAGGAATGGCGCTCTTTGCAGATACTCATGCTGAACCAAATCTGAGCTGGCCACATTCTTGGGTTATGTGGTTTATTAATGAAGGCATTAATTGGGTATGGATATTGCTTCTGAAGCTCTTGAAAAATATTCTGCTTAGTAACCTAAATTGTCTTTTTACTTAGTCTATTAATTTACGTTGCAAATTTCTTTGATGAATGATAAAAACGAAAATTGAAAATTGGCCCCATCATCAGTTCACAATCAGAATGATACAAATTAATTAAATGCAACTTGGTGAACATTTCCAAAACGGCCCCAATGCACTGGGCGTTGTGCTGGTGTTCATCGTATACAAAATTGTCGAGGCTACAGACCCTGTCTTCAGGAGGCTTATGAGTCGTTAACAAGAATTAAGGTTTTGCTGCAAAGAGAAAATTATAGGTGAGTAAAAATAGTAGACTCTCTTCTATAAATATTTATGTACTTCTGAAGATTGCTTAAACAAGTGAAATAAATGCTTAACAGTGCAGGTGCACTCATAACCTCGAAAATGTGTAACTTTACTGGCTGAAGATTAATTTGTGAGTAGATGAGCAATTTTATTGATCAAATTCTGGAACTTTGACCACCGTTTCTGGGTAGTAATTCATTTTGGTTCTTTAAGCATTTTAGTTGTTGGCACGAGTACATAAACTGGAAGGAAATCAAATGACACATTTTCTCCTAGGAAAGTAAAAGTACATGTGTATTCTGGCAGCATTAAAGTTAGGAAAGAAAGTAAACCTTGTGTGTTGCTTACAGTGGAAAGCTGACCACAGTTTCAAGCCATCTTCAAAGAATTTGAACTTGAAGCCAGTCATCTGATAGTTTTCCCTCCTGCCCATCCTCTTTCTTCCAAGATTATGTCATGCATAAGCCCCCTGGTCAGGGGGCTGTTTCACCTGAAGGAAGGATCATGAAACCCAACAGAAGGCCAGCCTTTTAGTCCACTTTGGAAGCTCAGAATTATAATGAGGACTCCTGCTTTAAGTGGAGGAGGTTAAAACACAAGATTCAGCAGGTGTTTTTTAGCATTTTTATTTGCAGTTATATAAAACATGCTTTAGGCAGCATTTTTGCTTTGCATTAATGCCACATATAATCTTAGTACCTCGTATCATTTCCGTGTTATTCACAAAAGAATAAATTGGTAGAAGGAAACCTTTAAAGGAAACTACAATTTTTATGTTATAGATAGTGAAATGGAATGGTTTTAAAATAGTGACCCTTAAAAAATATTCATATGCACTGAATTAGTAAGGTAGATAATTCAGGACAGGGAGGTTAATTATTTTTATTAAATGTCTGGTGTTAACATTGTCCAGAACTGGCATCCCCAGCATTTTCAATTGATATGAAGTGTTGAGATTTTGATACCTTTTAAGAGGTCATTGTTATCACATGACTTTAGAGGAACCCAAAACCCTAAACATAAGTCTTGATAAGGAACGCTAAAACAGAAACGATGCTTCAGAAATGGTTATTATTAAGACTTTCAGATTACACATGCCATTAAAAAAAACGTAGAAATGATGACCCCTTCTCCTTGTAAAATGAACATACACACAGAATTTTGCTTCCAGTTTTAGGGGTTTCATGAACCTCAAGAAGTCCATCTTGGGGCTCAGGTTCATACTCCTGCTTTAAGATTTTTTTTTCTTAATGTGGTTTGTCTTTGCCTCCAAAATTCTTATGTGAGTGGTAATACAATGAGTTAGCTCATCTCTGATATTTCAACTTTAGTTGTACATAGGGTAACCCTGTGTCCTAGTCTGTCTAGGACAGCCCCAGCCCATGGCTATTGACTAGGTATGTTTATTAATAATTCTCACTCTTGGGGTATCTCAGTTTGAGCCGGGCATGGTGGCACGTACCTATAGTCCCAGCTACTCTGGAGGCTGAGGTGGGAGGATCACTTGAGCTCAGGAGTTCAAGGCCAGCCTGGGCAACATAACAAGACTGTGTCTCTATTTAATAATAA